CTTAGGACTTACCTCGGAAGTGAGTGTGCTGAAGTCTCTGTCCGCGCCCCGTTTCACTTTGGCTCAAGACTTGCACTGCGTGACAAGCGCGTGGTGAACAGTTGGTTGCGACGAAAGGTGTAAAAGTGCTGTTAGCTTTCACTGCTGTAGCCTTGCGTGACGTAGTCAGTCAGTCGGCTTGCACCTCCTTTTACTAAACCTAGAAGTGTGCCTCAAGGCGCGTTTGGGTTTTAACGAGCCGGAAAGCGCGGAGGACATCTTCATCCACCCACTGACAAGCTCGAAGGGTGAGATTCCGCGTAAGCTGCCATGCTGTGCCACTGTGTGCGGGCATGCTCTCGCATGTAGCAGTGCATTCACCATGATGCGGTGACCACGAGCAACCGCCAGAAGCAAAGGGTTATATCCGGTTGGCGGGTCCAGTGTGTCATCCCATATTTCATCCTCCAGCGGGGGGACATCGCGATGACATTACCTCCAATGCCGCCTGTTCAGCGCAGCGATCAAATAGAGGTCCACCGCAACGACCCACCTCAGAGGCGAGAGATTGGAAACAACCGCACAGACAGAGATGGAGCTGGGACAGAAGACCGCATCCATAACCTGCCCTGCAGAGTCTCGTAGCTCCAGGAACACTGAGGCTACGCCAAAAGCCAGGCCAACTTCGCGTAACACCTCATCCGCGGAGACAGCAATAGGTGGTGTAACATACGCCAAGACAGGTACGTCTTCGATCCAGCTGGGTAGGCCCTGGAGCAATGTGTTACACAGCTCCGATGGGGCACCACCCACCCGAATTGGAATGAGTTTACGTTGTTCCATGGCGACACAGAAAAGGCGGAATGAGTATTACTCCCCGAGGCTAAGCGTATCAAGCCAGAGATGCAGCGAAGCACGCCTCCAAGCACAAACCGTAACCGCATGACAAGGATCGCAATGGAAGGAGCCAAGACAGAGCCTAGAAGAGCCAAAGAACTAGCCCTGCACAGAGAAGGAAAAACCAACCCCCCCTCCTCCCCCGCCGGGCATGCGCCAAAACTCAGACAGATGGAGGAATGGAAGAGGACGTTCTTTGCTTTCGAGTTGTGTAAGTGCCAACCCAGCACACAGAACAATACGGATTGTAGCGATCACAGACTTGCTGTTCTTCGGAAGAAGGCGTGGAGCCCGACACAATGCCGCTTTGTTGTGTCCAATTCCTGGGCCGCTGTGCGCTTGAGGTGCGCCCGGCGGGCAGCGTGCTCGGAAGCAGGAACAAGCAAGTGCCGTGTCACACTGAGGGCGAACGATCTTACGGGCTTCTAAAAGCTTGCAAAAAGCTTCTAAACTGACTTCTAGAGAGCGAGCCGAGAGCGTAGGTGTGTATGATAGGGAAGACTATTGAACCAATTAATTTCCGGCCGTAATCGGGGTGATTTCGCGTGCAAAACGGCACCGCGGAGACCCCCCGTGTTCGCGGTCTCCATTCGCTTCGATTTCCCGAAGTTCGGGCGAAAAGTCCTGAAAAAACGGGCCCGAGGAGGCCCCCCGAGTTCGCGGTCTCCGTTCGCTTCGATTCCCCGAAGTCCCCGAAACGAGCCGAAAAGTTCCTAAAAAACGGACCCGAGGAGGCCTCGCGGCACTGTTCGATTCCGTCGAAAAGAATCCAAGATGATCCCATGATGATTCAATATTGGATCCATGATGCTTCAATAATGATTCAAGATGATTCAATAATGATTCAATATTGAGTCCTTGATGACACTACATTGACTCCATCATGCATCAATGTTGATCTTGAGGTGCAAGAGTCCACGACCAACGCCGAAGCCCCGAACATCAAAAATCCCCAGAAACAGAAGTGCGTACGATCCAAGAGGCTGTCTGGAGGAAGCAGCACCTGCGCAGTTGGAGGTATCGCAGTCTTCAAAGAAAAAAAAAGCACGCAAAAGGCACTCTGCTCGGTCGAAGGTCTTTTGCAGGCTTCAAAGAGATGCCGGAGGTATCGTGAACCTAGTGGTTTGCGGTCAGAAACGGGCCCCTGACTGCCTCGTAGGAGCAGCTCTGTTTCCAGGGAAAAGCTTGCAAGAAGGATCGCTGACAACCGCTGCAAGGGAGCAATCCTAGGGTTTCCAAGCGCACCGTGCAAAATCCGCAACTGTACAGGTACTAAAAGAGAGCTTCTCGAACTGCAAGCGTGCCCCGGAAGCGCGTGGGCGCCACGCCCCGTACGTACTCTAGGATCTTCAGCAGGAGCACGCCGTCCCCGCCCAATCGTAGCCAAATGCCCAAGTAGGCATTTCGCCAATGCCCCATGGGTCTGCAGTACTCCTTGGTGAGCTGGAATGCTTTGTCGTTCAAGACGTTGAAGGTGAGCTTGCGTCGCGTCGCGATAAAGACCTGGTGACCGGAGGATTGCATCTGCGTGAAGGAGTCGTGCCTTACAGCGTTCCCCTCGTGAATGTCCAGGTAGTCCCGGTGCTTGGCGGTGTCTCGCACGCACTTGGGCACGCCCTTGGCCTTGTGGATCTCTTTGCCCTCTGAAAGAAGGATGCTGTATTTCTTGACAGCCAAGCAAACCACGGATTGCACCACCCACTTGGCGCACTCGTCCGACAGCGCGCCCATCTTGCCCTGCAGCTCCTTGAGTTTCTGCATCCCCTCGAAGGAGATGACGTTCGCGAAGCTCTCCTCGAACTTCTGAACGTCCAAGTCCCCGATCAGGTCGAACTCCGCCGGCAGGGTGAGGTTGCCCTCAGCGAGCAGCTTGACGGGGTCGCAGTCGCCGATGATCTCCAGGAGCATGCTGTCCGTGTCCGTCAGGATTGGGACGACCTTGGGCAGCGCGGCCTTCACGCCCATCCAATACTGCACGGCGATCTTGAGCTTGGACAGTTCAAGAACGGCCCAGCCGACTTGAAGCGGGCTGCGATTGATGTTCCTGCTGGGTGGCCTGACTCTGTGCACCGAGCCGAGGAAGGCGTCCCTCTCCATGATGTCCACGGTGAAATCGGCAACCCGGTCACCCGCCTGAGCTCTGCTGAAAGCTACCGGGTCGAAGTAGTGGGTCGTGTTCCGGTACTTCTCTTGATTTTGGACCGTTTTCCCGTAGATGGAGTTGATGGCGATCTTTTCGAAGCCCTGCTCGAGGTCGCGGCCGGCGTCCTTGAGCTCTCGCCTGCGATTGTAGGCTTCCACCATGAACTCTCGCAGTTCGCGGCGGCACTCGAAGGACCAGACTCGATGCAGCTTCCAAATGCGAGCGCCCAGATGGTTCCTAAGGAAGGCGAGGCGCTTGCTGTGGATGCCCTCCTCCTTGTGCATCCCCAAGAAGGGAACCAGTTTTTCCGTCGGCGGACGGTTCCTCGCCGCTTCCTGAGTGTAGGGTCCGACGTCCCCCGGTCGGATGCGAAGCCTCGCGGGAGACGGCCAATCCAATTGGTCATGGAGCTCCTCCGGGAAGTCGTAGTCTACGAAGAGCAAGTAGCCCAAACCTTCGGCGGGGTCGTCGTCGAGGGGGTTCTCTTGGCTCAAGAGTTTGTGGAGCCAATCCAGCCGATCAGCGTCCGAGCTCGGGAGTGTTTCGAGGTAGCCTGAGGAGACCGGCAACGGTTTCGTCATGGCATCCGGGTACATGGAGTTGATGTCCAGGTACATGAGCCTCTTCGTGGGCAACGCGTCGTTGAAGCCTTCAAGTCCCTCGAAGTTGGCATCGCTCCGCGGCTTGAAGACGGCGCAGACGCCACCCATCATGGCACGCCGCACGTCAAGGTACAACCGGCTGTCGGTGATCAGGTCGAAGACGCAGCCACCCCTGAGGACGGCATCCCACGCTGCAGCTGGCAGGGAGGGGTACTGGAAGACGTCGAGGTGGTACCTCTGCATGAAATTAAGCCTGAAGACTTGCATGAGGTCGGCGTAGGCTGTGACATCGAGCCCCAGGTAACAGTCATGCACCTCCTTCAAGCTTTCAAATCCCATCCGGTGGACCGTCAGCACCAGCTCGTCGTAGTCTTCCCGAGAGCAGGGCCCCGCGAGCTTGCTGTGGTAGCACTCGAAGTCCCAGACGGCGGTTTCTCGAAGTCGGCGGGGCTTTGGAAATGCTCCCAAGGCATTGGTAGCTTCTTAAGCAAAGCCGACCAAACTTCACCCCTGTCATCTCGAAGGCCGCTGAGGTAGGGGTGTCTGCGAGCTGTGATGGGGAAGGCCTGATCCAGACAGCCCGCGTCGCCGTTCGCAGCCCTGAGAGCGCACTTTCGCTGCGACTCGATGAGCTTCCCCAAGCCCGAGTTGCAGAAGTTGATGGTGTCCACGAAGCGGAGTCGTCCGAACTTGATGGTGAGATAAGTCTCCCCAGACTTCTGCAGCATCGAGACCTTGTCAGCCAAGAGGTCCTTCGTAGCCTCCACCTCGCGCAAGCGGTTGACTCTCGTTGCCAGCTCCTTGACGCTGAACTTGCGGATCCTCGAGCCGGTCTGCCGTCGTCTATAAGTGATTCATCTAGGCCCGGGGGGCGTGACGCGCAAGGGGGTTCAGGGCATTTGGAGCATGGGTTCCAAGCCCTGGACTTGAAAATGATTTGTTGTAGTAGGGTTTGATTATTTTTCCATCAATCAGTCAGCACAAGAACAACAGCCTCTCCAAACAAGTACCGTCCCTTCCCAAGAAAACGCGGCACGTTTTGGAACAAAATCGTCGTGAAAGCTACAAACCTACAACTTGTGATGTAGCCAACCCAAACTGCAAACCGCAAGCAAGCATATCTTCCTGACTTTGTCGGCTGTTTTATGAACTCGAATTCCGCGATTTCTCAGCCGCCGGGCCGAAACTCGATTGGGAATTGGGAATCCGAATCGCAGCACAGTTCAGGCACATGACTCACGTGACAGTGACAGCTTGACAACTTATCATCCAATCTTGCAAGAGGACGTAGGCAGTAGGCATAGCCTAGCTTGCTTGAGGTGTTACATTGGATAAGCCAAGATAAGCCAGATCTTTTCGTTGTGTAGTGTCATAGTGCTATGGCAGAGCCTGCCATCTTTAGGCTTCCAGATCCTGGGGACGGTGAGCTTGAGGACAGAGAGTCCGAGTCAGAGGCCGAGGAAGCTCCCAGGTCTGCAGGTGCCCTGCGGACTGTTCGATATAGGGACAGACTTCGAAATGCTTCCCGTGCAGAGGTTTTGTTTCTGTATGCGAAAACCTGTGGCGACGAATCAGAATCTCTGGGCACCGCTGCTGCAGGGAATTATTTGTTTTGTGTTGCTGAGCTTGGGGGAAAATGCATCAAGCCGTTGGGTGCCCAAGAGCACTTGCAGCAGCAAGATACTTGGCGAGCTCGGCATCAGAAACGTCGCGATCGAGATTTCGCCGCTAAGCAGATGTCCCTCCAGAACCAGACAACCCGAAACCAGATGTTCAAGTGCTGTTTGAAGTCTCTTTTTCGTTTCAGGGCAGCTGTCCAGTTGGGGCCTGCCCAGGCTGCAGTGGCAGGTGCCTGGTGCCGGGCACCTGCAGCTGCTAACCAGGGTGCGGTGACTCCTGTTCCTGCGATGCCCGCCTTGGCTGGCAGGTTGGCGGTTTTGCCTGCAGGGCAAGCGCAATGGGTTTTTCAAGCTGCTGCGCCAAGCGTCATCTTCGAAGCCGTTGCAGATCGCCAGGGCCTTTACACTTGCTTTGCAGACGGACAGGCGGCGGAGCCTGAAGTAGGCACTGCGAGGCGTTACCTAGGGCGTCCTTTCTGGATGGTTCGCTTGCCACCAACTGTCATGAAGCATTTGATGGAGATAGGCAAGGAGTTCGTGGTTCCTGGTGGGCTTGTGACTTCTTTGGGGCACCAGTTGCCCGGAACCGTTCCTGCTGCGGCAGAAGGAAGCCCCAGTGATGGTGCCGACAGTGGTTCCTCTTCCTCCTGCGAGATGAAGAAAGTGCGCAGGCCGGCCATGCAAGAAATCCTGTTGGGAAAGCTCGCTTACAAGCTCAGCTCAACGGTAGGCATTCAAGATGTGGTTCGCACCGTCCTTCGAATGTTAGTGCCAGATAGTTTAGGTCTGGCAGACAACATGAAAGTGTCGCATGGGCATGTGCGGAATATCTTGCTAAAGCTTGATGCCTTGCATTCCTTGTCTCGCCGGTTCCTTGCCCCACCAGGTGGTGGGGCAGACAAGTCGCTGCGAATTGTCAGGTACATCAGTCCTGACAGTTCCCCGCAAGCGAATTATGATTATTTTTGTGCGACAGAAGAGTTGCTGCTCTATCGTTCCGACGAGCTTCCAAGGGATGCGGGTGGAAATGTAGCTCCTTTCAAAGGGTTTGAACACCAGAGGCGTTCGATGTTGTGTACAACAATTGCGAGAGGACAAGGAAGCACAGCTTCGAAGGCAAGCAAGATGGTACATATGATTGCCGTTGAGAGTGGTGCGTCTCTCTTTGAGACGTATCGTTCGGAAGTTCGGGGCTTCTTAAGCGATCAAGGAACGGAGCGAGGCATAGCATCGTTTCCAGTCCGCAGTTGCTCTGAGGTCCAGAGTATTGTGGGCGCTCAAGCTTTGGCGAGCGAGGCAATACAGGAGGATTTTCGTGAATTGCCGCTCTTTCATTCCGCTCTACACATACCGGGAACACTACACATAGTGTTTAACGCACTGGAATTCAGCTTGAAGCAGCTTGAAACCTGGCAAAAATTCGAGAAACAGTTGAACAGCATCACCCGTGTGTGCAAAGAAAAGAGTTACTCAGAAGTAATTCTTGTGAGAATGATGAAGCATGCGAGCCCCGAGGAGAGACGGTTGTTGCATCGGATGGATGACCTCTTAGACTGGAGGTGGGATTCGCTCGCAAGAGTGCTGAAGGTTTGGGTTCCTCTATATCCCACCTTCAAGAAATATTGGAACCCAGCTGTTTTTGGTGGGGACAGCTCGTCAGTCACAATTCGAGCTGTGACGGAAGCGTTGGCAGACGAGTGCCATTTCGACATGGCAGTGTGGACGCATCAGTTCTCTGCCGAGGCCACCAGGCTGGCCCACTTTTTCGAGGGTTGTCACTGCCATCAGGAGCAGCTGACAGACCCAGAAAACCGGGAAAAGATAAACTGTTGTTGGAAAGGCAGGCGCTTGCCTTGGCTTGCGGTTGGTAATCTCCAGGGAGCTTTGCAAGATGCCATGACAAACAACGAGATTAGTGTTCTTGCGCATCTCTTGTCTCGTTCTAGTGAAACTGCAAGTCGGATGGCGCACATGGCGGACACGTGCAACAAAGTATTTGTTGCCGTTATCCAGCAAAAGCTTGCGTATGCTCAGCAAGTACCATGGGTGTTTGCCGCAGCGTTTGCGGGGTATATGGGCGAGACTTGGGGCCGAGTGAAAAAGGTTCTTCGGCCACATCTTCAGAACGTTGACAACATGATCTCCAGTGGCCAAGTCGGCGCTCTAGACTCTGTTACACATGCTTTGTTTGGACCAACCGACACAGGCCGCATGCTCCGAGAGTTTCTGAACTCGGAGGATGACGTGCCCCTTGATCGATGGCCAGCGTTGTTTTGGAGAGTACAGGAATATGCCTTTGTTTCTTTGTCCGAGCGACACACGGAGAGAGAGCATGTCGGTGTCAAGGTTGCAGCAAACCGTGGTCTCACAAAGGCTGGGCCTGCAGTTGTCTGCAGCCGCAAGCGCAGAGATCAAGTGTTGGAGATGCTGGAAGATGAGAAACAGCTCGCTTTCTTGGTCAAAAATTGGCGCAGCAGGCGCCTTTGGAGTAGCCTGCTGGAGCACATGCTCACTCACGAAGAGGTTCGACTTATGGAGACGCCAAAGAGGCTTTCCCGCTTGTACGGGTATAGCGAGGAAGACCACTTCAAAGATTGCGAGGACTCTGTTCGTGCTGATGCCGTTTACCGCCAAACTTTGAGAGATCAGACTTTGTTACTGGCCGGAAGCTTCAAGCTTCCGAGTGCTTCCCACCAGGTAGTGAACTGGCTGAAAGGCCATTTGGCGACGGGCGTGTTTTTCAGTGTGTCCACGCATGTCTTTGAGCTACTTGTCGACAGGGGTCGGAGATGTGAAGACCCAGCCGCATCCTTCAGAACCGACGTGCTGCTGTCTATTCTGCGAGCCGACGTCCACCCTCGGGTAAGTGATCGTGCTTCGGTTTTCTGCTCGGTGCTGGATGCCAGGCCAGAAGCAAGAACGGATGCTCGTGTTTCGCGACCTGCTGCACACATCACAGACCCGAAGCTAGGCCGCCGCAGCTGTGTGGTTGTGCAGCGTTTCCACGACGTGGATGTTTCCCAGGGCGTGCACGGCCTTGGTGGAGATGTGCGGGTGGCGTGCACGAATGTGCGGATCGAGGTTCTCGACTTGGCACGGGTGTGCACAGCAGAGAACTTGAAAGCCTTTTGTGCAAACTGTTTGCTCTGGCGTGCTATGCCTGCGGAACTGGCCTTGGCTCTGGGAGACGAGTCCACGCAGCCAGGTTTGCTGCAGGAGCCGCAAGTGCAGAAACTTCCAGAGATTGTCTTAGACAGCGATCCTGCCTGCTTGTTGAGTCGACCGCCTCCGGATCGGCATGTGGAAGATGCCCTCGACATCCTGCACCCCCTGCCCATGTCGTGCAGAATGCGGACGACTCTGCGGTGCTGCAGGTCTACGGTGCTCCGTGTAGCGACCGAGAAATGCAAGCTATCAAAGAGTTGCTGCGAGCAAGGGCCATCGGCATTGAATCTGCTGTGTATGCCACAGACCTTGAACACTTCGATGCTGTTGCACTGGAAGGCTTGCGTGACCGAGGTCTTGTCATCTGCGAGACTGATATGTTCTCAGATGTATCCGTCGCCTTGACGGGCAAGTTGACCTACAGTGCAAGCTCGGTGCTGGCACGGCCATTGTTGCTTTGGGAGCTTGACCAAACGACTTTGACTCGAGGCCAGATGCCAGGCCGATCAAAGTTGGAGTTAATTCGTTTGTTGTTTGTCTTGGGCTGGGAGCCAGGGCTGGGCCGGGAAGCGTGGCATCGCAAGCAGGGAGAGAAACGTCTTCCAGATGACGTTCTAGTTTGCAGCCTCCCCTTCCTCAGAGCTTTGATGCTGAGTCGGCTTATATGGGAAAAGCCCGGCAACTTGTCGGGCATTTACTTGAAAGGCCCCCAGCAGTATTATGAGTTCTTGGTGGATCAGGACGATCTCAGCAGCTTGCGGGATGCTTCTGCAGAGGAAATCAATGCTCGGTTCGCGCAGAAGAAAAAAAGACCTGCTGGCCGCAGCTTGACAAGAGATGCGGCTACAGGTCTGGAGCTTGACCCAGAGGCTGATGATGCCGAGTTAGAAGAGCTTGTGCAAGAGCTGCCTGAAAAGCTCATGCAAGCAGAAGAGCCGCAGCCAAGCATGGCCAGCGGTGGTAGACGTGTCGCTCCTCTAGAAATCGACTTGGGAGGCGGTAGGACACAGGTAGTGCATTTTGACAATTTCACACACTCCAGCGGCCAGCTCCGAGCATTCGTTGCTTGCGAGACACACAGCGGCTGCCGCTTGTACACGTTTGTACGGCATCATGGCAGCCGCAGGCGGGCTGCTGCCTTTTTGCTTGCTTGGCAAATGCGAGCAGCTCACCACCGCAGAGCTGAAGCTCACATTGCGGACAAGCCAAGTGAAGAGCAGGTGGATGCCATGATGCTCCGGATCGCTTGATGCAACACACGGCAGTCAGAGTGAACGTTTGAGGTTTTTTTTTTGCATTGTTTGGATGCAGGACACGTGTTGGCTGACTGTGCTGCTTCCGTTTGCTGCAAGAGTACCTCGGTCACTGTGTGCATGTGTGACTGCCCGTGCATGTGTGACTGCCCGCAGCCCCTTTCGGCTCCTTTGGGCTGGGCAGGGGCCAATGCATTGGCATTTCTCCCACTACGGAAGGCCGGCAGGGAGAAGTGTAGTCGAGTCTCGAAAGCTTTGCGGTGAGAAACCTGTAAAGTTACAAAGCTTTGAAACCCAGGCAGTCCTTAAGCCCCTAGAGTAATAAGCTTGCTAACTCACAGAGCCAGATGCGGCCACCGTGTGCTCACCTGGGTTTCGGGCTGCGTTTTCGACGCTAACC